CCCCGTTGACAGCAGCTGACCAGTCGACAAGTGTCCCGAAGTAGCAGAGATGCCAGATCTCTCCTTCTTCCTCTTGCTCCAGGCAAAGACTAACTGTTGCACCTTAAGTGGTTGCTTGCAAGCTTTTAAGACCCCAGGCACTACTAGACGACTCAACAAACTGGGAGCTTGAGAGGCTGGTGATCTAGCTTTAAATATGCAGGCGACTTCTTATTGCAGCCCTCGAGAATTCCCCTGAGCTCCAGACTCGTATATGCAGCCAGTTCCTTAATATCTCCGCACGAGTGTTTAATAAGCTCCTGAAACTTAACATGCCTCAAATAGACCTCACAATCTCCTCCCTTCCTCCAACTCTACCCGGAGTGAAGGACATACCAGTTCAGCACTGAGAATGAATGAACAAACGAACCACTTACCAGCTCATCATTGTCACCTTTTCAGAGAGGCAGTCTGAGCGTCCTATCTCAAAGTCCCCAAACTCATTGACTCCCTCTCCCCCCTCTCCCACTCAGGGCAAGAGCAAGAGCTTCTCAGCCTTGTTGATGTCTTCTCCGTGGCCCACGGGGAGCTGAATAAGTCATAGAAAGAAGGGTTGGATGGATGAGCAGTCAATTTAGGAAGGACTGATTGCCAAGGGTGGGGGAGACAAAAGGTACAGACGTTGATTAAGTTTCTGAGCTATTGTCCCTTAAGTGGTTTCTCTGGCCAAATTTGTAACTTCCCTAACGAGAATTTGTAAGCAACTTGCTTTGGGGGAAGTCAACAGGATTCTAAGGATCTTGAGGAAATGCATTTAAGTTCAAGCTCAATTTGTTCTAGGGCATGGCAGTGCACAGCACATACTGGCCTCGGGTCGATTCTGACCCATAGCCAGGGACCTTACAGGACAGGATAGAACCATCCTGTGGGTTTCCAGGACTGTCACTCTTTATAGGTGTAGGAAGCTCTATCTTTTTCCCTCGGGACAGCTGGTAGTTTCAAACTCCTGACATTCTGGTTAACAGCTCAGGGACACCCCCGGGGCTAATTATTCGATGTAAAGGCATTTGCTAGTGGTTAAGCGCAGACTGTAAATGCAATATTTGGTGATTTCCAAATGTAAAAATCGATTTCCCAAAGTGCTCCAGAATAATAATTCTTATTTGCTCATGATCACTACCCTCAGTCCCCACCCTCTCTACCCCCTGCCTGACCAATGAAATTGCTGGGTAGAGAAGGGCACAGAGAAAGGCTGCCCCAGGACCTGCCATCCTTGGGACGGTGGGTGTGTGTGTGGGGGTGGGGGACAACACCAGGAACACAGTGTGGGAATTGCGCC